ACTCCTTCACCGTAAATACAAAATAATACGACATTTTATATCAACTGTCAGTCGACAGTCATAGTCACATTTATAAATGACTTACAAACTGTGTTACGCTTCCAAAGGATTCAATTGGTGTTTTCCGTAAACCAATCTCGTTTATAATGGCAGTTGACAAATCGCAATGCAGCATTTCCATTTTTTACTATGACGGTGATGCAAATCTTAGGCCGCTAGCACAATCGGTGCTCTTAATGGTGGAAATCGCAGTGAAAATTACAAAAGTGAACAAACTTACTAGTTATTGACCAATAAGATCATGAATATTTTAGTAAATTTGTTCACTTTTGTAATTTTTACTTTATTTCATGCTACACAATCGACCCCCTGAATACATCAATTATCTTTTTCAAACTTCCGAGCAGCGGCGAGAAACATGATCATGACCCCCACCACCAATGGCGCTAGTGGACACGACCCCTACCTCCAATGGCGCTAGCGACCTAAAACCATGGACATAGGAATATAGGGACGGAGCGTAAACTTGGTTGATAGACGAGGGGAGTAAAGCTAAAATGCGGGGGGGTCCGCCATGATACTGTGCCTGAATCTGATTGGTTATCGTTATACGTATGCTGTTGTTATTATACACTAGGTAATGCATTTCGTCTAAGTCGAGTTATCAAACATGTTCTGTCAAAGAATTTCTCTTCAAAGTGGACAGAGCAAATACGAGCTGTACTTGGGATAGATGATGAACTTACTTCCAAAATATCTAATCACAATGTACGAGTTTTAGGATCTTTGGGAAAACTAAGAAAAAAAAACAACATTTTTAACAACTCTCTCTTATACTCTTAAAATAAAATATATAATATTACTTTAAACATATAATATTAACTTTAATATGAATAAATAATTTCAATACCTGTGAAATGTTATTTTTACATTATTTCCGCTATTACTTTGTTTCCAATTTTGATAGTCGAATCTATTTTTACAAGACTGTACAAAACATTGCACCATTTTTTATATTCACAAAATATATTTAAAATAACAATTTTAATTAATGTTTTTTCTTGATATAACTTTAAATGCTCATTATATCTGCTCAAATTGCATAATATTTTTGCGTCGAATAATGACCAACTGCACTTGCGTCAAATAGTAGCCAATCAAAAATGTGCACAGTTTACCTCGTCCCCTTCCTTCAGTGGTTTTCCCCTCGCGACGTTACACTCCGTCCCTATATTCCTATGTCCATGCCTAAAGCCGAGAGCACAAGCTTTTACATAATGCGTAATGCATAAGCATAAGGAAATTGATTGGTCTATATATAAGCATAGCAATGCATAAGGAAATGGACC